TTCCAACCTCACTCTAATGTCTGCCTCCAACAGGCAGCAGAGACCCCTACTATGATGTAAGTCTGCCCTGACAACTTGCCTGTTCCTCTCCTCAGTAGCACCTGCCTCAGGAAAAAAACACAAACAAAAACAAAATGCCCCATTCTGCTCCCAGGTCCTATCTGCCTTCTTTCCTTTATCTCTCTGAAGACAGTGAGCACACTCACCTCAGGGCCTTTGCACATGCCGCTGAACATCCTACCCACATCTCCCAGGGTTTCTGTTGGAGGACGGTCTTGTGCACCATGTTTTCAGATGCTGATTTCAGGGCCCTGAGATCTGGTTACCATCCTGCCATGGGCTTGGGATCCAGAGACCACGAGGAGGGGAAGAAAGGCAGAAGATGTAGCAGCAGGAGAGGAGGAGAATGGACTGATTTTAGAGAGGATAATAATATAAGCATTGGGGACTTTGGGGTGGGAGGAAGATAAATTGATAGGATAGTAGTTATTATGCCCAGCTCTGTGCTTAGCTTTGAATAATCATAGCAGCTCCCCAAAATAGATTAAATAAGGATATCTTGATTTTAAAATTTTTAAATGAGACAAGTAGCATAGCTGCTAAAATAAATGGATTTTAGAAAGGACTGCTGAATTAGATCCGCATGTAAAAGTGCTAATCCAAAATGGAAGACAGGAAATATGTTGCATTGGGAAGTAGAAGATGCCTGTCTCAACAAGAAACAAAAAGCTATGTATTCCATCCAAACTGTTGGAAATCAGACTTGACTGGGAAAGGCCTCCTGAAGATCTTGGCTACAGACAAAGGAACAAGCAGGTAACTTGTATTGCTGATCCCACTACATGGCAACAGCTCTGACACTGGCTGAGAGATGAATGTCTATGCATAGCCAGCGAATCTTGTTGGCTACAGAGTCCCCATGACTTATTACCTATTACGTGCCATCTTTTCATATGGCATGAATGGCGATTTACAGATGTCTTTCTTTTGCTCAACAAAAAGGAAGAAAGAAAAAAAAGAAAGAAAGAAAGAAAAGAAAAGAAAGAAAAGCATCCTTAATTGATCTATGCATCCTGCATATCTTATGCATTTATAATTTCAGGACTGTATAAACACTCGTGAGAAATTACATGTTTTCAGAGTAAAAGAAACAGACCCCACTGATGCTGGATTGGCCCTGACAAGATTCATCTTCCAGGATGCTGAGGCGCTGACAGATTATTCCAGAATCCTGCATGATCCAGCCTCAGACTGCTTCAGCTGTTATTCCTTCAAAAACCTGCTCCCAGGATAGCTTCAAAGAAAACTGCTGATCTCAATTGGTCCAGCCATTCAGACTGTTCCAAACAGGACTTCTATTAAGTCTGAAATTTCTCAACATTTAAAGACTGGACCACAAATATTATTGCTAGCTTGCTTAACAATTTCTTCCAAATTTATTTGGGCTCCCAAAAAGGATTCCTACACCCCAAAATCAGCAGGAAGCAACTTAGAAGAACAACGTCCCATTTCCCTTGAGGTAGGGTGGGTAGGTTTTTGGTTGTTTTCTTGGGCTATAGATGTTTATTGTCATTTAGAAGATGGTTATAAGTTATTAATGATGTTATTCAGAAATTAATGATGTAATCCCTGAATAAGATATAAAAACTTACTCAGGGATTTCACTCTTTTCCTTTTCTTTTTTCTATCTTTCTTACGTAGGGAAAAAGGAATTGAAAAGAGGGAGGAATATAGTAATATTTTATGGGAGTAATAAGACAAAAGGTAGATTATTGAATCTATGTTTCAACTTAGAGCTTTGTTACTTTGTTTACATTGTTATGGACTATTGTATATTGATACAGATTTAGTTTTCATTGGTATAAATTTTGATATATTGATATACATTTAAGGTTACCTTTGTCAGACACACCTGTGTGTCTGTGTTTCTACTCTATTATGAGGTATTGTACCCATACAACTCATTTATAAATACAAGGTTTCCTTCCAGTCCTTTAAAAGTGGCTATTAGAAACTGTTTAGGATAATTAAGTAATACAAATTAATGGTTAATCAGATTCATGGTCATGTCAGATAGTCAGATACTAGTCTCATTTACCACAGAAATATGTTTCCTAGGTTAAACAGATAGTAAGTAGATAGCTAGAAACAATATTTGCCTTTTCAGATTTAAGATAGACAGACAGAATTGGTTATGTACTATATAATGATTAATAAGTAGATGTTCTTCAAAAACTTCAGAGACCTAAAGAATGTGGCATTTAGAGATATTATTTTAAGGCTTCTTTGACAATGAGAGATGTCAACTCCCGGCAGCACCCTCAGCCCACTTCAAAGAAGATGATGAGCATCAAAGAATCTCCATTAGGAGATAGCTTCAAAGATGGCAAGTTAGCCAATGGGCAAATGCCTCTCCTATTCAACCACAGACAGAATGCTGTCCAAAAATGGACGAGACTTTAGATGCAGGCTGAGTTGACTGCCTAGCTCTGCTAAGACAGGGTAAGCAAGTCCTTCATAGTTCCTGCTTCACAAATATGTCTGTCAAATAAACTGGGCCAGAAGGCTGAAGACGATGCTCCAACATTATAGAGAGGTTTTGGGTGACTGTCGAGGCAGTGAACTGTCTCTGTCATATTTATTTTTATTTTGGAAGTTGTTTGCCTGCACTTCCTGCTTCCTTGGGTAATAATTTTATGCCTTCTCAAGTCTCTGATGAGGTTGAAGACTAGATATAGTTTTACAATAAGCTTAATTACTTAGGAGTTAAGATCTTTTAAGATCTAGATAGATGTTTTTAGGTTGATAGATATATGATAGAGATTGATTTAGACTCACCAAGATAGGATACATACTATTTTCTCCTAAATTGCCAGTACATATAAACACTTATGCATGTAACTTTTACATATGGTTTTCCTGATTGTTTCATAATTGTATATAGTTTATTATATATAAATATAAATAAAAGGGGCCTTTTATTGGACTAAAATGGGGAAATGTTGGAGGGTCTTGTGCACTGTTTTCAGATACTGATTTCAGGGCCCTGAGATCTGGTTACTGCCCTGCCACGGGTATTATTATGTTGAACCATCTCCTCTACCCATGTGACATAAGGAATGTTCCCCAATTATCCCTGGTTGGCTAATAAAGATGCTTAAGCTTATGACTGGGTAAAAAGAGAGGTAGGTGGCCTTTAGGTTCCCACTAGGAGAGGAAGAGAAGCAAGAGAGATGGCCTGAGGGGATGAAGTCACCCTTTGGAAGAATGGAGCATGAGCACATGGCCGTGAGGACAGACTGATGGAGCAGAAGCCGCCCAGGAGTCATCGGACTGGCAGCGATTGGCTTTTATGTGGGATATAATCTGCCCAGCTTGGTACCTGTATCTTAATAATAACTGGGTCTCCCTGTGCCTATTATTTTGGAAGCTAGCAGGGTTAAGGAACAGTGCTGCCATAATAATTTCCTAAATTAATATGTACAGATTAATTCTGTCTACAGATTTCATTCCCCAGTCTGTGCTCAGGTTTACACCTTATCTCCTCCAACCGCACCATCCTTTTACCTGTCTACACCTTCCTTACAAACTTATCTTCTGACCTCTCGTCTTTTACAGACAGGATCTTGGCTCTTGGCTCTTAGCCACAGACAAGCCCTGGAAAGGCAGGGATTTTTGTTGGATTACTGGGAATCAAACCTAGAGCCTCCTGCATGTTGGGCAAGTCAAAGGCAGGGCTACATAATAAGACCCTGCCTCAAAACAAGACAAGAGTCACTATGAAGCATGGCCAGCCTGAAACTTGCTACATCTGGGAGAGGGGCTGGGTCTCCCCGGCACTCTATCTCTGAGCCGATGACGCAGGGATGAATCTGACCTTGTCTGAGAATAGTTAACTCAGAGTATGGTCTGTGGCAGGATGTCAAACACATTGTGGGGTACCACCCAGTGGGGCAGCAGCAGCAGCTTGCAAATAACAACCCCCTGCACTTGCTAAACTTTTTGTTTTACGTACACATACTAGATCATGTTTCTACTGGACGGGAGAGTAAAGGACACATCTGAAAGCTGATAGGCTTGGGAAATAAAGATTTCAGCGCATAGGCAGCCTCTCCCCTCCGCTATCAGCCCAAGATGCTAGGACATCGGCTAGTCTTATTTCTCTGAACTTCAGTTTCCACAAAGGGGCTGAACAAGCTGAATTCTCCACACACACACTTGAATGTCCTAGAACTGGGTCCACCCACAGGCTTCCAGGAACATTTGGGTTCCCCTCAAAGTCCTGGACTGATAATGTATGAACTGAATTGCTCTTCTCAAAGAGACCAGAACAGCCCTGACAGAGCTGGTGCTAGCAGGAGAAACACACACCATCTCCTGTGAGATGAGTGTTCTGTAACACGCATATCCTGTGTGCTATGCACAGGGTATGAGTATTCGTTCAGAGTGAGGGAGGGCAGAGGCACTTGTAGACAAGCAGAGGGAGCAGGGAAGGTAAGAGGCGAGGGTGGGAGAGGGAACAGGGTAGGAGGCAGTAACCCCCCTCGGCCCAGGGTATCGGTGAATGGAGGAGCAAGAGGTCATGGTCTGGATATTCAGACAGAAAGTGGCAGGTCAGGTCCAGTATGTGTTGACGGTGGACTTGATGAACCGGTCAAGTCTGTGGCTTGGGAATCCGAGGACGCAGTTACCGACAGATGAGCTCAGGGTTTGTGAGAGAAATTGGTGGGTGAGGATGGAACCTCAGTCAAGAGGACATATGCAGAAGGGCAAGGAGAACCCAGCGGCCTTTTCCACTCCCAAGGGCCCTTCAAACAAGAAAGGTCGCAGGCAAGTTCTCAGAAGGCACAGGGGGGTGGCTGCTGACTCATGTGTGTTACACGAAGGGTCAGTGTGTGCAGTTACAGAGAACTCTGTACAGGAGTCACTCTGGCTCTCCCGGCCCTGGAGGCTGGCCACGTTCTTTCTTCTCAGACCAGACGCCAGGCAGAGAGCTCACACAGGGTCACACGGGGGCTTTATTTTAGTTTCCAATGTGATCAGCAGAGATACAGGTAACTCGGACAGATGCATCACCTTAAATATACCAGAAGCAAAGGCACTGGGTCAGGTGCCTTTGGCGGCCCAGCAAAAGATCAGACAACAGTTATCAGCAAGAAACTAAAGTGCTTTGCTAAACAGCTCGGGTACAGCTCTTCCTGGTGGTATAAATGCAATTTTTACTTATATAAGCTCAAATTTTCATTCATTACTCGGGGACTATTCTGAAAAAGATTTCATGTTTATTCTATTTTCCCCCCAAAGAACACAACATTCATTGGGATTATGTGACACTGATTTGTCTTGACCCACTCTGAGGTGACCCCATCTGTCCAGCATGGCAATACACTCACAACTTCTTTACATTACATGCTGACCTTGGCCAAGACCATCACTGTCCCAGCAAACAGGGTAGACTGAGGGGCAAGTGAGCAGGCAGACACGGGCAGGAGAGGACATAGCCCCTGGGCACCCAACCAGTGGGACAGTGCCCTGCAGGAAGCTCCTGGCTGCAGACTTCTGGGAAGGGGTGGAGCCCAATGCTTTGTCTCTAAGACACTCTCTACCTGTTTTACAAAGGCTTTGTCACCCTAAAACTGCTTTTCCAAGGCAATCAACCTTAGTGACTGGAATCTTCCCTACTTTGACCATTAATAGTTTCAACACTCAACAATGAGAAGTTCAGAGTCAATACGAGGCTAAGCAAGCAGCGGGAGGCTTCAGGATCGGAGGAGGCAGGCTTAGGAGGGTCAGGACAGTAGGGAAAGGCGGCCAGGTTTCTCTTGGGAGGGTCAGGGCAGTAGGGAAAGGCGGCCAGGCTTCTCTTGGGAGGGTCAGGGCAGTAGGGAAAAGGCCAGGCTTCTCATGCTGTTTTGTGGCCAGCTGCAGTCACTAGCACAGGGTACAGTCCAGAGAATGGTGGCCACAGGGGGCTTGCAGCAAGGCAGGGATAAGCTGAGGTTAGCGGGTGAGCTTCCCAGGCTTGTGAGCCCCTCAGTACTAAGACAGATAGAGGAACCGCTTCTGTACCAACCTTCTCCAGCCATCCCCGGAAGCCCCATCTTCCACCATTCCCCCTGCTACATCCTTAAACCACCTGGAGCAAACTAGCTCTCACTAATACCCCAGGACTAACAGACCAAGAGCTGAAATAAGAACAAGGGCCTCAATGGCAAGAAGGGAGGCAAGTCCCATGTCACCATGATGCCGGACACCAACAGCAATACATCGGACCCCTGATTCCTCTCCTGAGCCCTCCCCTCTGCTCTGGCTGGCAGATATCCCCAGCTTCCCACAAGAGCGCCCTGAGTCTAAAGCCCAGGGTATGTTGAGCCTGGCCACCAAGCACAACTCACTCTGCAAGTGGGAAAAGTGCTAAGGCTAAGGGCCAAACATAAGATACAAGTCCTTCTGGGACAAACTTGGCCATTCCAGAACTATCCTGAATTCTTCTGGAGAGTCCAGTCACCCCCAACATTGTCCCTCTCTGTAGGTGTGTCAGAGAAAGTGGGAGTGTCTGCCTGATGCCTGTGTTGCTCCCGTCAGTCATTCTGCAGGGTGTCACCCTTCGGAAGACCTTATCGAGCATGATGAGCAGACACAGGCATGCAGGACTCCTTGGTGCCGAGCTGCCCAATCCTTGTTGGTCTCCTTTAGGGTGTGAGCCAGGGGTCTTCCTGCACAGGTAGGGAGTGACTGGTGCTGAAGGGCTGAGAATGGTACAAGACAGTGGGTGCTTTCCTTCTCTCCAAAGCGGCCAAGGACGAGAGCTGATGGGAGGCGTGGCCGGCCTCTGCTCAGTGCAGGTCCGCCCTGGCTGCCCACTATCTGCTGGGCTGCAGGTACTGGTGTGTGAACATGTTGAGTTCGCTGTCCAACCAGCCAGCTTTATTCCTGCAAATATAAGAGCACTTTGACAGGTGGTTGCCATGACACGTCCCACTAGCCTGTCTGAACCTTCAGTTAATCCTTCAACAGCACAGTTTCCCATTTGCAGATAAGGAAAAGGAGGTCACAAGCTGATGTGACAAGAGCCAGGCTTTAAACAAACAAACAAACAAATAAATGAATAAATAAATAAATAAATAAATAAAGAGGTAGGCTGAGATAGATTCTCAGGCTGGCCTGGAACTCACAGCCATCCTCCTGCCTCAGCCTCCTATGTGCTCAGATTACAGAAGTGAACCACCATAGCTGGTTTTAGGTTTTTCTAGTTTGGCTGCAGCCCGGGGCAAGTCCCAATCCCTGGAAGCCAGCTTTCTTCATTGGCAGGTAAAGGTTTGGGTACTAGCTCAGCTGACTTTGTGGCTATAAGCAGCAGCAGACACTCTGTCCCAAGAGCCCCAGTGGGTGAAGAATATGTCCTTGATGATAGGCAGGAGGGACACAGATGCAAAGGCCAAAGAGGGCACAGATGCAAAGACCTGGATAGGTCAGGGGAAGTCCACTGACCTATCCAGACTAGAGCTAGGACCCTCTGAGCACCTCTTCTCCAGCTCTGTCCCTGTGGGTCCCTGACATCAGAGGTTGGGGAGGGAAGTGCAGGTCCCATGTGCTGATGTGATCACAGCCTGAGCAGGCTGAGGACTTAGCAGGCAGAGTCCTTCTGCTTCAGCTGTGGCTGTCATAACATTAGTCTCACCTCACAGATGAAAGCCACAGGACAGGGGAGAGCTGAGGGAGTGCAGGCCTGGAACCCAGATCCTGGCTCCTCCACTGACACTCCTCCCAGCAAACTTCCCTGTTCTACAGAGACCACACTCCTGCTCCTGCGGAGAGACCTGGTGCTTTGCACCCCTGATCCTGGGTTCAGAGTGGAACTGAGTATGACTGACATAGGTGGCAGATCTCATAGGTCAAGGAGAACCAAAGTGTAGACTGACTGCCCGCACCCCAAGTTCCATCTGGCCATTTCCTGTGGAGCTCCAGACAAAAGACTCAGCTTCCATGACTACCAATTTTCTTACTAGAAAGCGCAGCTGAGGTTGGCATGGTGGCACACACCTTTAGTCTGAGCACTAGCAAAGTACAAGTAGGTGGATCTTGATGAATTTGAGACTAGCCTCATTCACATGGCAAGTCCCAGGCCAGCCAGGGCTACAAACAGATCCTGCCTCAAACAAAACAGTGAAGAGCTGATGACTCTCTCACTGGGGTGATAAAAACTGGGTGGGCCAGAAGTGCCAAGTGCTGAAGCCCTGCCCTTCAGAGGAGGGCCACCCATGAGCTGCTTGTTTCCTGGGTGCCATCACGCCCTACCTAAAGCACCTGGAAGACAGTGACCCTGTCTGTTAGGCCTCCAGCACTGTCCCGTCCCCAGCAGTGCCCGGCCAACATCTCACAGGGCGCCACATCCACAAAGAGCTCCTGGTGTCCACACTAAAGAAAACCAGATGGCAGACAAGCCCCAACTCCCCCAGCTGGGCCACTCGGCCACTCACCTGAGTAACTTGGCTTTGCTCTGAAGGGAATCCAGAGCCTCAACTTTCTTGTTCATGGCGGCAATTTCCTGCTCCAGATTATCTCGGGTGATGTCAACTTGCTGGCACAGATGAGCAAATGTCCCCGACAATTCCCTGAGGGGACAGAGGTAGGATCAATTTGGCACATGGTGTGTAGGCAGGATTCTCTCGGTGACTAAATCCACCCAGAACAGAGTAGCAGCTGAGCCCATGACACGTCCTCTGGCCTGCAATCCCACTTTTGGGGATCCTTCCCACCTCTACTGAAACCACAAATAGCTCCAATGCTCACATCAAAGGCACTGGGCATCACCACAGGAGGCACGGAAGTCCAGCGGTTAACCTAAGAGGCTAGGATTCGGACACTGATGCTCATCAGCTAAGTGGCAAGGAAATGGACTCATCTCCCTAATCTCCAAGCCCAAGTCTCACTATCTTCAGTGTGTGTGTGTTTGTGTGTGTGTATGATGCTGGGGATTAACCCTGACTTTCATGCATGCAAGACAAGCTGCCTACCAACAGAGGAATTGAGAAAGTACGCACCAACAAAACATCTAGCTCACAGCTACAAGAGTAAAGGGGACACTAGTGCAAAACGGGTCTGCCATGCCATAGTTAGAGGGACACCAAACAAACCAAGCATGGTACTCATGTCTGCTATCCCAGGACTCAAGAGACTGAAGCCAGAAGATTGGCCTGAATTTGAGATTAGGCTGGACTATAGTCTGAGGCCTGGGAGACAAAGACAGAGAGAGGCAGTGCAGAGTACAATCTTCTACCTTCTCCATGCTCCAAGATGGTGTGATCACAGGTAACCCTGATCCATGAGGCACCATAACCAGGCTGAAGTAGGATCCCACAGCTGCACCCACGGCTCATGCCCTTCAAGCCTACCTTCAATATTTATTTATTTACTTAGAGACAAAGTGTCATGTAGCACAAGCTGGCCCCAAACTCTCTATATAGCCAAGGATGATTTTCCTGAGTCCTGGGATTAGAGGTGTTAAGACATAATGCCTGGTGTGTAAGACGCTGGGGATGAAGCCCAGGGCAAGCACTCTGCCAACTGAGCTACATTTCCAGTCCCAAAGCAACCTTTAAAATCGATGAAGCATATCCTGGTTCCTTTGTTTCCCCAGTATCTTCCCCTCCATGGGAGGGGAGCACAGGAGGCCTACCTGACCTCAGCCGTGGACCCCTCCTATCATCCCTGGATGCAAAGCTGGCACTACCCAGCCAAAGTCCTGACATCAGCATCATGGGGCTCTCAGATCAGGCTGAAAGGGAGGTGGGGAGAGCCCACGTAAGAGGGTGTCCTCCCTCAGATCCCGGGGCCACTCACTGCTGGACTTGGTGGCTGCAGTTAGAGCCAGTGTAACTGATAATGAGCTGCAGCTTTTCACTGGCATATTCCACAAACTGGCGCTTGAAGGCCCTCTCCTTGGCCTTGGTGGTCCAAGTCAGCCGCTCATAGACATACAGGAGGCCATACAGTCCAAAGGAGAGGGCGATGAGTCTCCAGCCCACTGCCTTCCACACCTATAAAGATGCATGATCAATTTAGAGCGGGGTCTCTCTCCTTGACTCCACTGACGCTAAGAGGGCAGGGCCTATCCAGGATTCCAGTTGGAAGGGAGAAAAACTGGATGTTGGCCATAGGACATAAGTTAGGGTTAGGATCACTGTCCTGATCTAGGTGAGGTTTTTTTGTTTGTTTGTTTGCTTGCTTGTTTGTTTTGTTTTTCTAAATGATGGGGATAGAACACAGGGTCTGGCACATGTTGGGCAAGCTCTTTCCTGCTGAGCTTCAGCCCCAACCTGAGAAACAGGTTTCTTAAAGAGAAACACAGATGATCCAAAGCAATAGCTTATTCTGATGGTAACAAGAGGCAGAATTCAGCATCACTCCTCACAGCTGTAGTTTAGTCAGAGAATGGGGCTCGGAGCTCAACATCAAGGCTTTCATCTCATCCATCATTCTGACTGTATGAACTTGGGCTAGTTTACTTATAAGTTTCTTCGCTCACAAAGAAGGCACGAGCTATAAGCTTAATGCATAGGTTCTATAGCTAGGTAAGCAGATGCTATAAAAGGGTCTGTCAAGGGTCAGTGCTGCAGACCATGCCCTCTTATAGGCCAATACCTGTGGAAAGAGCTACAGAGTGCAACTCTCAGTCTGGGGAGAGGGGCCTCGGCTGATCCATCTTGTACTACATGCTGAAAAAGCAAGTCCTGACAGTGTTTCTGAGTCACCCTCTGCCACCACTCTTTGTCTACAAAACAGCATGAGAGCTTGCCAACACCACTAGGGGGCTCAGAAGTGAGGGACTATGGCTGAAAAGTATAAGCCTCACTGAAACCAGAAGACAGCCAGTTGCTCCTTAGGGCTTGGGTCAGAGCCATCCAGAAGCAGGAGACCTTTAGTTGTTCCCTGTTCCCTATTTGCTGTGGAGGAAGAGGCCTCAGTGCCAGATGGGGAGGGTTCAAATCAGCTCTGGGCTTCTGCAAGCCATATCTAGACTTTGGGAGCATCCTATTAGTTGAGTGATGCAGCAATTGTAGGTGAAAGGGCTCTGGCCACACAGGCCCCCAGGGGAGAAAACACTCACTGAGCCACAGCACCCCTCCCCAAGCAGCTATCACTGACCACTCCTCCAACCACGAGAATGCCCATGGAGGTCCTGGATGTCAGGGAGGCCAGGCCGGTAACCATGGAGACCATGAGCTCCTCCTGGGTGAGGGATCCCTGCGGCAAGGGGGGCATGCTGGGGTTGGCAGGTGTCAGAGGGATAGGACGCTGAACCTAAAGAGGGAGACAACAAAGGGATGAGAAGAATGTTGCAAGGCTGTCCATTCAAGCACACACCCAGTGATCCTCAAGACTAGACAAGGTAGGACAGAGACTGAGCTGCTCTTCTACTCCCAAAGGACAGAAGAGGGTAAATGAGCTTTGTATGCACCACAGCTGGATGTCTGCTTCCTAAAACCTGCCAGCCCGAGGTGAGCACTGGGGCATGCCACAAGATGTAAACGTGGCCATTGGGTTTGTGCCGGCAGAGGGCCTGTACTAAAAGCAGTAATTCAAGCAGCGTGTCTGTGCACAAGTGTGTGCCTGTAACTTATGCATCTCCGTCACACAGAAACTAGAGCAAATGTCAGGTGTCGTCTTCTCCTGCTTTCTGCTCTAAAACAGGGTCTCTGACTGCACTGGAAGCTCGCTATTTCAGCAAGACCGACAAGCCAACTTTGGAGTAAGAATAAGTGTGTGTACCCACTGGACCAGCTCCTCAGTCCCTAATATACTTTTCATTCCAAAATTTAAAGTGGTGATGTGTATTTTATTTTACTTTATGATTTATTTAAGTTTATATGTATGAATGTTTTGTCTGTGTGCCAGGTGTGCCTGGTGTACTGGAACTAGAGGTAAGGACAGCCGTGAACCATCAAATGGCTGCTGGGAATGCTCCAAACTGTTGAGCCATCTCTCAGCTCCTGATGTATTTTTATTCTAAAATCTTTTAAAATCATTTGTTATTCAAATTTTCAAGTGGTGGTTTGTAGAAAAGTACTTCTCAGTTCCCTTTCCCCCCTACAGTGCTAAGGATCAAACCCAAAGTTCCTGTACAGCAGGCATTGTACACTTCTCCCTGAGCTACCCTCCCAAGTGGGCTGTTCTGAAGAGCACATAAAAACAAGCACTAAGAAAACACGCAGAATTTTAATTTTCAGTTTTTCTAGATAGGGTTTCTCTGTGTAGCCTTGGCTGTCCTAGACTCACTCTGTAGAACAGGCTGGCCTCGAACTCACAGAGACCCGCCTGCCTCAGCCTCCAAAGTGCTGGGATTAAAGGTGTGTGCTACCACTGTCTAGCCAACCCTCAGCATTTGTAATTAGGACAGACCATGTTGATAAAGACAACAGTGCTGACCAGTGACCTGATGGCACACTGCATGGTTCAGGGACCCCCACTGTAGACTGACTGACATATCTGGTGCAGGGTGATCTCCCATGATGCCCTAGGGAAAAGGAGCTTCTTGCCTGATCACTGTAGCCCATCAAGGCCCGGCGGCTGTTCTTGGGGCCCAGGAACCTGTTCACCAGCATAGTCCATCCAAGGGAGAAGTGGAACTCGATGTCCTCCTGAAAGTCAGCGCACAGCTTGTCACAGTTGAGGTCATAGCTGAGGGAGAAGCACTGGCGAGGGACTAGCATGTCTATCTGATTCCGCACAGACACAGGAAGAAGAGGCTTCAAGCCGTCTGTCAGGGGCACAAGCAGGGAGAGAGCGCATTACTCAGGCCTGTGCCACACCAGGGCCCAACCTCAGGCACAAAGTCCACACCAGCTGCTAGGGATGCTGCAGCTTTGGGCAGAAACTACACCCTGGTAGTCGGCTAGTAGGACTGGTTGACAGGTCACCTTCCCAAACCTGCCAGCAGTCATGCCAAAGTCTCAGCTGTCCCATTTGCCCAAGCAGGGGTTCTCCAAGTCCATACAGAATGAATTCAGGATACACTGCTAAAGGTCACAGGTAAGGAAAAGTGCACTTATGGTTTTTGACTGTGTGTGTGTCCACGGGTGAAGGAGCACATGGAGGTTAGGAGCATAGGCTCTCCTGGATGGATCTGAAGTTTAGGCACTTGGGAGCCTTCTGACATGGGTTCTAGAAACCAAAGCAGGCCCTTTGGGAGAGCTCTTAATGCACGGAGCCATCTCTCCAGCCCTGCCTTACTTCAGATTGGCCTTAGCTTGCATATGGCAGCCCCACAGATCCCAAGATCCCTTGAGACACTGACCTATCATGTCCTGCTGCATGCTCTGCAGGGAACTGGCGATGGCTGTGGAGCAGCGGTCAGACATGTTCCGGCCTAGGCCTTCCTCTATATGTCGGTGCAGTTCCTGCCTCCAGAAAAGATAGGTTAAGAGAAGGGGCACCATCAGCAGGAGTTGCTGGGGGTGTTCAACCTGTCCTGTCCTGCCCTGCCAGCTGACCAAAGAGGCAGAGTAAGCTTGGGCCTCATGCCCCTGGCTGTCACCTCTACTCGGGACCTTGAGGCAGAGCAGCTAAGACTTGCTGCTTCACTTACATTCTTATAAACCTTGAGGACAACTGGGGATGGGTGGAAGTCCATCTGGTACTCGTCAACCAGCACAGAGAGGCGTCTGATCTCTTCGGCCATGGCTGTGGACACCTGCAGCCAAGAGAGAGCAGTTAGCATCAGAGGACTGAGCTTTGGCAGGGGAGGCTGCAGTGAACCGCACACCTGTCCTGCACCCCGCAGTCTCCCAGCTCCTCTTGATTTGAAGTCATAGAGGTGGAAGAAAATGGGCAATCAAAATGGCCCTGATGCTGGACCCACAGCCAAACGTTAGGCAGAGCTAGGGGAATCCTGTGGAGGAGTGTGAGGAAGGATAGAAGGTCCCAGAAAAGAACCACTCAAGCGCCAAGTGCAGTGGTGAACAGCTATAATCCCAGCACTCAGGGAGGCAGAGGCAGGTGGATCTCTGTGAGTTTGAGGTCAGTCTGGTCTACAAAGCAAGTCCGGTATAGCCAAGGCTACACAGAGAAACCCTTGTCTCGAGAAAACAAAACAAAACAAACAAACAAAACACTTCAAGAAGACCAATAATGTCAACTAACCTAGGCCCATAAGGGCTTACAGAGACTGAAGTGCCAAACAAAGAGCATGCATGGACTGGACCTATGCCTGTAACACGTATGTAACTGATGGGCAGCTTGGTCTTTATGTGGGTCCCCTAGCAATAAGGCAAGTGTGTGTTGTATCTGACATGGCCTCGGTTGCCTGCTTTTGGATCCCCCTAGCTGGGCTGCCTTGTCTGGCCTCAACAGAAGAGGATATACTAAATTCCGATGGGCCGGAACAGGTTTGTAAGTGGGGGGGGGGGGGGGGGGAGCTCCCCTTTTTTGAGAGGGGGAGGGGGAAAAGGGGTAAGAAGATGGGAGGGTAGGACCGGGAGGAGAGGAAGTAGGGGGCTGTGATCAGGATCTAAAGTGAATAAATGAATAAATTTATTTAAAAACAAAACAAAACAAAATGGCCCTGGAAGGAGCCCCAGGGGAAATGGTATCCTTGAATCTGGGCCACAGACAGCTTCCAGAAAGCTGAGGAAGTCCCTTACTTGGATGAGTGGTCTTGCTCGTGACTTTTGCTGCCACTGAACTTGACACTGCCTCTGAGTCCAAGTCTCCACACGGAGCTTTCTCTTCATTCTCACCTGCCTTTCCACCTCCTCTGTAATCTGCTTAATTCGGAGTTTATAGTCTTGAGCCAGGAGCTCCAGCTGCTTGTCAATAAACCTCAGCCGGTCTTGCCGCTCCTCCCGCATTTCTAGACAATAAACCCTGAGAAAAGAAAAACACCTCTCAGAAACCCATGTCCCACATGACTGTGCAGAGGAGCTAAGGGAAGCTGAGAGGCTCACCCAGGCCACAGATATCCTGCCTAGACAGGGTGTCAGAGAGAGGCAGGACACAGCCATGCATCCCCTCAGGCTTCCATTAGGAGGAGGGGTGGTGAAAGAGAAAAGAGGTGGCTAAAGGAGGGAGGGTTACAGTGCTGCTAACTAATATGGAAAAAGAATGCTTGACAAGCCAGCAAGATGGCTCAGCAAGTCAAACGCTTGCTCTGCAAGCCCGATGACTTGAATTCAGTCCCTAGTCAGGTAAAGGTGGAAGGAGATCTGATTCCACAAAGCTGACCCCTGACCTCTACAGGTGTACCCTGTCATAGACACACAATCAAAAACAACAGTGTAAAACCTCTTTAAACAAAATAACAACAACAAAAGAATGCTCCCTTGTCCAGCAACTGGGTAATGAAAAAGAGATACTACCAGACACCTGGGGGAGATGGCCATGTCTCAAGCGTGGTGAGAGCTAAGGAAATGGGAGGTCCTCCGGGCAGGAGCAGCAGATGCTCTGGAGAGCATGAGAAACTGGGTACCGAGTAAGGGTGCTTGTTCAGTTCCCAGCACCCATGCCAAGTGTCCCAACAAGAATCAGGGGAGAAGGAAGACCAGGCCGAGTGGCAAGAACAGCAGGTGCAGTGCCAAGCCTGGTAATAACAAGCCTGGATGCGTGCGGCACGTGTCCAGAAGCCTACAGTCTCTCCACACTTTCCTCAAGAAGCACTTTTAATTTTAAACTCACCATCACCCCTGAGGGTGGGACAACAGACTCAAGGTTACTTAACAACTTCTCTGTTCTGTTTTAACTTAGGGCCAGCACTGCCGAACCTCTCCAGTAGAACTGAATTGTTATATATGATTCCCTATGGTTTTCTATATTTTAAATTTCTAAATTTTTTTTCTTTTCTCTTTCTGCTTTTTTGAGACAGGATCCCAAGTATCCTAGGCTGGCCTCAAATTGACTCTATAACCAAGAATGACACTGAGCTTCTGATCCTCCTGATCCTAATCCTTCACCCACAGAGTGCTGGATCACAGGTTGTCACTGCCGTACCACCACCTGCCAGGGACTGAGCTCAAGGGTTCTTACATACGAGGTAAGCACAATGGAACACATCTCCTAAACCCTGCCATGTTTTAAAAAGTGGCACACACCTTTATTCTCAGAAAAAAAAAAAAAAAAAAAGGAAAAGAAAAAGAAGAAAGAAATTAATAAATAAAAAAGTAAAAATAAAAAATTTTAAAAAGGTAGGTTCAGGCTGGATGTGGTATGTTAGAAGGCGGGGGAAGCCTGCGGCAATAAGATCTTAAGTTCAAGACTAATCTGGACTACACAGCAAGAATCTGTTGCGGGGGGTTGGGGGAGGCGCAAAGCCTGGGCTAGGGCTGCAGCTCAGTAGGCAAGTGCTTTTCTAGCTGACCTGAGGCCTCAGTTCTGAACCCTGTACTACTGAAGATTCAAAACAAACAAATGCAAAGGTGAAGACCTACAACACAAGAACCCTCCCTTACTGTCCAGGCTGGGCGGGTGATCAGACAGCAAGTGGCCTGGCTGAACAGGTCACCAAGTGGCTCTGGGGTTGAGCCCATGGACTCAGCTCAGCATTAAGGATCTGATCATAGATGTGCCTCAGCTGCCCAAGGCAAAATTCATAGACCCATAATTTCCCAGCAATCTCTCTGCTTTAGACTGGGCTCTCACCGCTGCTCCTGAGCTGCAATGTGCAGGGAATCCATGATGAGACGAACGGCCTCTGCAATCTGCTTGGCCCGTACTGTGTGCTGCTCAAATTTGGTCTTTACTGCAGATTGGGAAATGCACTCCTGCAACAGACAGAGGTACTGAGGGGGGTGCGGACCCTCATCTCCAAGGGCGAGGCAGTGGCCAGGGACAGGGCCAGAGAGAACTTGGAGGGAAAGAATCACCACATACCAGAATCAAAGACTTACCTCAAATCGCCGCTCAAAATTCTGAAACTCAAACATCCTCACTTGAAATCCTTCTGCAAGAGCGCCCCCTAGGAGAAGGCAGGGTTAGTGAGGAGACAGCTGCACAGTGAGGAAATGGGGAGTCTGCTCTGGTTTACTTTTCTAGCACTGTGACCAAAAACACTTGGTAAGAAGCAACTTAAGGGAAGAAGGAAGGCTTCTTCTGGCTCTCAGTCTGAGGGGATACAGAAGGTCATGGAAGGCAAGGAATGGCAGCAAGAACTTGAGGTTGCTTGCCCACACCGCACTGGGCAAAGAAACAGAAGGAACGCTGGTGCTTAGCCGGCTTTCTCCTTTTCACTCAGTCTGGAACCTAGCCCAGAGAATGCTGCAGCTCACACTCAGGAGGAGTCATCCCTCCCAGGCAATCTTCTCTGGAAAGGCCCCCAAAGACATGCCCAGGGGCATCTCCTAGGTGACTCTAGGAGCAAGGACCTCCCCTCCAGGCTCTGCTCTCCATCTCACTGCCAGACCTATTTTCACCAACAGACCCAGTAAGAGACTCAACATTTCCAACACCCAGAAAAAGAAGGCTGTCAGTCTCATAGTTACCTCCTTCTGGCATGCCCTGGGCTTTCTGGACCCTGGCACTGAGCACCTCCTTGGCAGACACGAAGAAGATCCGGTCCCCAGCCTGAGCTCGATCCACCACACCCAACTCGTCCACCAGAAAGCTGGTGCAGCGTTCCATGTGCTGCCGCCGCACCTGGGCCCACACAGACAGGTGTCCACAAGGAGGCAAGGTGAGGCCACCCGATCCCCATGGCTCAGCAATAGGAATAAACATTTACAGTGAAAGGCCACCACCATCTCTGCTCTGGAGACACAAGCCTCCCCAGCTCCTCCCTGGGGTCTTTTGAGACACAGAACAGGCCCCAGGTTTCGAACTGCTTCAGGTTTTGGAATTTGGCTTAAAAGTGTTCTTTGGTGTCCCAGAAGGAAAGAAGTCTAAAATGGCTCTACCCTGACAAACGAAGTCTCCCAGAACCTTGGTTTATAAGATAAGTGGGCACCCATGGACAGTCTCAGCTCCAAACACCAGGCTGGACTGACAGAACTTAAAAGGGTTAAGAGCCTCTATGACAGGCTGGAGAGATGGCTCAGGAGTGAAGAGCACTGTCTGCTTTTCCAGAGGTCCTGAGTTCAAGTCTCAGCTGCCACATGGTGGCTCACTGCCATCTATACTGGAATCTGATGCCCTCTTCTGGCATGCAGGCATACATGCAGACAGAGCCCTCATCTACAGAAAGTAAATAAATAAATTTTAAAAAGTCTCCATAGACAAGGTGGGCAGTGATAGCGCGCGCTTTTAAACCCAGCACTCAGGTGCAGAGGCAGGCAGATCTCTCTGAGTTCAAGGTCAGCCTGGTCTACAAAGTGAGTTCAGGACAGCCATGGCTATACAGAGAAACCCTGTCTTGAAAAAACAACAGCAAGAAGAGCCTCCACTGACCCCTACCAAGTGTCAGACACTGTGAGCGGATCCTCCTCAGGTGTGAACACAGGCTTACAACCAAAGCTCCACTGCCACGCTCAGCTGTATTTGGACTCACAAATCCCTTTTCTTTCATTTCACACAAAATTAGAGTTGGGAGTTGTGCTAAGAACCACCTACCCTTCATTCCCAAATGTCTTTTTAAAGCCTGTTTTTTAATTTATTGAGCTTTTGTGAACCAGAGTTATTGGCTCAAGCAGAAAGAAACACAGAAGACAAAACTAAACATGGCAGGGATGCACTTCTGACCTATGAGAAATCAAGGAAAAGAAGGAAAGTGAATGCACACATGGGCATCTTTCACTTTACCTCAGAAAGGACAGAAGCGGATCTGAGTGGTTAGTGTTCATGGCTCATGACAGTCTCCAAAGTGCCAGAGAGACACCCACCTCCTCCATGTACTCAGGTTCTGAGAGACACACCCACCTCCTCCATGTACTCGGGCTCCGAGGCAGAGGCATCCCAGCGGTTGTTGAGGATGAAGATGTTGGGCCGGGACAGACGCTCGCTCACTTTGTGGAAGAACTGCTTCTCCTAAACAAGGGCAGGACCTTGCTGAAGGAGGGGGCCCGCTAGCTGCCCGCCCAGCAGGCCAGGGACAGAGCGGAGGCAGACTTACCGTCTGCATCAGTGTGGACTCTGAGTTGGCCACCAGCACAAACACATCAGCATCCAGGCAAAACTTATCAATCCAGCTGTCCAGCTCCGTGGTGACATCAATTCCAGGGCTGGAGGGGACAGGCGTAAACCAGTACAGTCGGGCACAGGACATGGGTCCCAGGGTGAACAGCCCTGGGACTTGCACAGTGGCCAGGCGAAGGAGAGGAAGGGAGCCAAGCCACCGTCACTGGGAATCTTTACCTCCCAGTCCCTGCCCTTCCAGGTCACTGAGGAATGCCACCTTTGTTTTTAGCACCTATCACCTTTTTGTTATTGTTTTTCAAGACCAGGTTTCTCTGTGTAGCCCTGGCTGTCCTGGAATTCACTGTGTAGAGCAGGCTGGCCTTGAACTCAGAGATCCCACTGCCTCTACCTCCTGAGTGCTGGGATTAAAAGTGTGTTCTACCACCATCCAGCAGCACTTACCACTTTTATGAAAACATAGTTTTCATAAAACTAGGAAATTTAATTTTCAGTTAGAGATATACAATTTAAGTAAAGTTTTTAATTTCTTCCTTTTTTCAGAGAGAGAGAGATCTCACACAGCAAAGACTGACCTTAAACTCCTGATCTTCCTCTCTTTACCTCTCTTAGAGACATAATTACAAGCATGTACTACTATGCCCAACTTTCAAATTTGTATTTGAGTCCAGGTCAAGGTCATAGTACTGTATCTTTTGGTATAGGTGTAAGGTGTACAAAAAGCAGGGGCAAAGCATTCCTTCAAGAGGAACAAAATGAGCATGTGCTACCAACACACACTAACTATTCTGGAGCCACCAGCCTTCCAGAGCCTGTGTCCTAAGGTCTGCTAAGGCCGGTCTGCCGAGGGCATTTCAGGCACAGACAAACAGAATGAATAAACAGGTCCTAAACTGTCTCTGGGTGCAGTCTTTACAGTGTCCCAGAAGGAAAGGAATTAAGGGAGCAAGGCGCCTAAATCTGCTTGCTCAAGTCTCCTGAGGCGATATTTTATAGAACAAGTGGGTGCCTCTGAACCCCCACACTAGCCTGGAGTGGGTGGCGGAACCCAAACATACTGGCTGCCATGTAGGGCCCGCCCCACTTCTCAGTGCCCCTCCTGTCTCTCAAACAGCCCACTCCTGGGACACCTGCAGTGCACTGATGCCAATGGGCACGATAACCAACCAGCCCCTGGAAGAAAACCAAAAGGATTTGGTTGAGCTATCTGAAAGGCACCAGGACTTAAACTGAGCAAAGAGAGGACACCATGGGGACCCCGAACCGGAATCACCCAGAAATGCAGATTTGGTACCCTCTGACTGGGCTTCTGGAAGGTCTCTCCCCTCTCACCTGTCCATCAGCACGAGGTCATCCTTGAGAAGCGGACACTTAGAGTTGGGCCACATCACACTCACCAAGCTGCCTGCATGCAGCTGCTCATCCTGATGGAGGGCGTGGGCCAGCTGGTTGACGGTCTGATGATGGAGGAAGAAAATAAGTATCAGGGCAAGAGTGTCATCAGCTCCTGTGCCATCTGCTACAACACAGTAGCTGGGGATGGCTGACCAACTGACTACCCCCTTTCCTTAAACAAAAAGAATTCAAGGGCTGGAGGAATGGTTCAATCATTAAGTGTACTGTTCTTCCCGAGGACCTGGATTCATTTCCAAGCACCTACATGGAGCTTACAACTGTAACCTGGTTCCAGGTGATCCTCCGCCCTCCCATGTGCAACAGGCACCTATGTGGTACACAGACATACAAGTAGGCACATGAAGTAACATGTTTTTCTATTTTTTCTGTGTGCATGAGTGTGTAGAGGTGTCCACAGAGGCTAGAAAAGGAAATTGGATCTCCTGGAGTTACAGGAGGCTGTGGACACCTGCCAGTGCTGGGAACTGAACTCGTGTCCTCAGAAAGAGCAGCAAGCACTCTTAACAGAGGAGCATCTCCCCAGCACCCTTTCTTGCACTTCATGTGTAAGAACCAGCTTTCCGCACTCCCCCTTTCAGCCTCTTTCTCAAACATCACCCTGAAGCTCTTTCCACTCTGCAATGATTAACTCCCTAAGAATCAAAATGTGCACCTGGCTCTAAGTAGCGCACAGCTGCCTCTCAGGAAATGAGAGTGCTCCAGGGCCAGAGGCTGCAGGCCAATCCCAGAGCACACTCAGAGCACACTGTTCCCCGCTGGCAAGCCCAGGAAGAACATGTGTGCTCCCTCCCTGCCTAGTGCACAGGCCAGCCAGCTCACTCCGCCTCTCCCCCTCAAGCTGGGCCCTCGTTCTTGGCGCTCCACTTTTCTGACCCTCCCAGACATTCTCACAATGAACCCTGAGCTCATGAGCATGGAGGCTGGGTGAGCTCTGTGACATGACGTACTAGCTGTTCCAAGTCAAGACTATACTCCCTGACACCCAAGGCCGAGCGCTGGCCGGCCAGCACCCACCTTTACACTCTTCTTCTCTTCTGAGCCCTCGGTGAGAAGGAAAGCCTCATGGCCATCTGTGCCCCCAACTCGCAGAAAACAATTGGTGGTGTGGCCAATCCCCGATGGCAGAACTTTGTCCCAGAGCATGGCGTTGATCACAGTGCTCTTCCCATTGCTCGTCCTGAGAGGACACAACAGTAAGGCCATAAGCAACACTGTCTGGGCTGTCACACGGTAGTGGCCAGCCCAGGGCTCAAGTGTCTTGTTCTCTGCCATGTCAATGGTGCCCAGGCAACACTGAAAGGAAGGCTCTGGTCAGGCAAATGTCTCTCAGCCGGAACCGGTTGTCTCACCACTTCAGACCAACCTGCAGGTGGCTGGCATTGCAGGGGACTGCACACACATGTGACCTGTTTCCCAGTCCAGCACCATCAGTAAGCATCAATGTGGAGCCTGCCTGCCCCAAAGGAAATCATGCTCCTCCTTAGACCAGGGTCCTGCCCCCAGGGTTGTCTTCCTGTCCAAATGGTTCTATGTCCTTGCTCCTCCACACTGGGCCTGCTATGAAGCTATTTTCCCATCATGCTCCTCCTCACACATGAAGACCCACCAATGCCAGACAGAAGAGAAGATTCCTTTAGTGTTCTATCTAGCATACCCCTTTCTATACTCTGCTTCTTGCAAACAGCTGTACCTGCAGACTTCTGCTCTCTAAGCTTCAACGCTAACACTTATTCTCACTATGCACGGCAGTCCCCAGCAGCATACAGCTTTAGAGCTGCCAATTTCCATGTGCCCAGTGACATGGGCAGGCACTAGCACCCAACTGAGGGCCAGGCCACACCTTTTGGGGAAGGATGAAGAAACAACAGGCCAAAAGCTGAAGGCACACTTGAGATCACAAGTCGTCAGGGATAGGACTTGAGACAGTGCCTGCTCTGCACTACCACTGTGTGCCTGGCATCCACCTTGTTTAGAGACCGGTTGCCTATGGAGAATTTTAATTTTGCTTTTGACACAGGCTGGCTTCAAACTGCATAAGGAGGATAACCTTAAACTCCTCATCTCCCTGCTGCCACCTCCAAAGTGCTGAGATTGTAGGAGTGTGTGTGCTATCATGCTGGGCCCCAGGGCTTCGTGCATATGAGGCCAGCAAGCATTTAGCAACGGAGACTCATCCCAGCCCTGGGTATTAATTAGTGCCTGATTCTCCCTATCACACCTGAAACTCTAAAACAAATGGGAAGCTTCAGCAGTTACTGCTTAGATATGATACCACACAGGGGAAAAGTCCAAGTAGATGATTAGACTACATTAAATAAAAGAGTGGACACCAAAGTCCAAGTAGATGATTCGACTACATTAAATAAAAGATTGGACACCAAAGTCCAAGTAGATGATTAGACTACATTAAATAAAAGATTGGACACTGGCCGGGTGAAAAGGTAACCTACAGAATGACTAAGATTCACCAATATACGCAATGTATTTAAAGGGCTGGAGAGATCAAGCTCGCTGCAGTGGTTCGCAACCTTTCTGATGCTGTGACTCTAATACAGCCCTCATGTTGACCTTCAAGCATAAAACCATTTTCATAACTGTAATTTTGCTACTGTTATGAATCACAATGTAAATATCTGTTTTCCGATGGTCTTAGGCAACCCCTGTGAAAGGATCATTCGACCCCCAAAGAGGTCACCACCCACTGGCTCAGGTGTCAAGAGCATGCACTGCTCTTGCAGAGGACCCAGGGTCAGTTCTCAACACCCTTGTTGGGCTACTCACAGCTGCCTGTAACTCCCATGCCAGTGAGATCTAATGCCCCTGGCCTATACTTATGTGCACATACCCATAAAAATAGTAAAAAATAAGTAAATCTTAAAGAAAACCCACCAATATATTTTAAAGCTCCTACAATGCAACCATAACCAAAAGAAATAGACATTTCTCCTAGATATATAAAAGGCCAATCAACACATGAAACGCAGCTCAGTCTCACTAGCATCAAGGAAATGCAAATCAAACCACACTGGAAGCCCAGCATGGAAGTTCTAGCACTTAGGCTGTTTTTGCAGGACTGCCTGAGCCCAAGAGTTGAAGCACAGTTTGGGCAGCAGAGTAAGGCCTTTATCTCTAAAAACAAACAAACAAACAAACAAACAAAAACAAGAATGAATAAAAACCAAGAACTTGCAGGACAGTGGTGGCCCATAGCTTTAATCCCAGCACTCAGGAGGCAGGTGGATCTCTGTGAGTTCTTCAAGGTCAGCCTGGTCTACAAAGTGAGTTCCAGGACAGCCAGAACTACATAGAGAAACCCTGTCTCAAAAACAAACAAAAAACTAAGAACCCAACTCAGAGGCATGGCGGCTAACATAACAGAGAACTGCGCAGAAATGAACCTACGTGCACTGCCGGGGAAAGAGACCACAATGCAACTGCTGAAGAAAATAGTGGTGGGACCGAGGGAGCTTCAGAACAGAGTGAGATTCTCCACAATCCCACTTCCACATACAAACTGAAAAGAACCAGAAGCATGGACTAGAAAGGACATCTACACGTGTGCACACAGTGACAGGACCTGTTACAGTCAAAAGCCAGAGTAACCCAAATGTTCGTGGCAATGGACAAATCAAACGGCATATGCACATGCAATGAAGTACTCATCCTTACAGGGTAGGAGCTGGGCTGAGCACATCCCCTGAACCCATGGAGGTAGGTGTGTCAGCCGCCTGCAGTCCCAGCTCTCCAATCCCTGGGACAACCTGGCTACCTATATACACTGGAATTGGCCAGCTCCAGTTTGGGTGAGAACCTGCCTCAATTAAGTAACAGCAACCGAAGGGACACACCACATCAACAACCAACAGACCATACATCCACACAACACAGATAGACAGAGCACTGACACACGGCTCCCCAACTGTGTGGATATCGTGCTGAGACAAGTCACTAACTGAAACAGAGACACTGCTGGATGAGGTGTCGAATGTCTTTTAGTCTTAACAGTGAGGAAACAGAGGTAGGAGGATCCCGGTGAGTGAGACCAGCCTGGTTTATATAGCAGGGCTACTCAGACATACCCTGTCTCAAACAACAACCTCTAAAAAAACACTAATATGATTCCATGTATGTGGTATCTAGACGTAAATTCTTAGTGAATTCTAGGCTTCCTGGTTAGGATTAAGTATAATCAAATCCCAATACTCAGGAGACTGAGGCAAGAGGACCACAGCAGCAGGTATGAGGCCAGAATAATGGTTGCCAAGGGTTGGGGTGAGTGCGGGTCAGAAAGCCACTATTTACTAGAACAACTTCAGTTCCACAAGGTGAAAGGCTCTGAGGAGCAGCTGCACAGCAGGCATCAGCAGCATCTCACCAGGGACACATACTTTCAATGGCTCATCCAGGAGATGAACACAGCTCAGTGACAGATACAGAACTCAGCGTGTGTGAGGCCCTGGGCTCCATCTCTGTCAGCTTCCATGAAGACTTTTATGTTAAGTATCACAATTTAAAAATTAAATATGGTGAGTTTGAGGCTAGCCTGGTCTACAGAGCGAGTTCCAGAACAGCCATGGAAAAAACCCTGTCTCGAGAAACTAAACTAAACTAAAATAAAATTAAAATAAAATAAAATAATAAAATAAAATGGCTGGTGAGATGGCTCAGTAGGTAAAGACACTTGAGTCTGAGCCTCAGGGATCCTAAGTTAGGAGAGAACCGACTCTCGTATGCTGTCTTCACCTTCACACATTCCCAACAAATAAATAACAAATAACTTCAAAAAAGCTCTAGCCAGATGGTGGTGGTGTATGCCTTTAACCCAATACTCGGAAGACGGAGGCAGGCAGATCTCTGTAAGTTTGAGGCCAGCCTGGGGACAGCTAGGGTTATACAGAAAAACCCCTGTCTTGAACCCCTCCCCCCCCAAATAAAAAGAGTGTTTCCTTTAAAAAAAAAAATAAATAAATCAGTCAAAAGGAGCATATGAACTCAGGCATGCCACTGTTACCCAGCAGAGAGGGCTCTCTCCTCACCCAAATCTACCCCACCCCAGCTCCTGGCCAGGAAAAGAGAAGCAGGGAGGGCTTCAAAGTACTCACCGGCCAAAAAAAGCCACCTTCATGTGCCGCCTGGCCAGCACCTCGCTGATACCCCTGACCTTGGACAGGTACCCTTTGACATCCAGGACCTGCTCTTCTGTGGTAACTGGGTCCAGTTCTGTATTCCTGTGGGTGTCTAGAGAGAGGATGACAGCAGGTTAGCGCATGGCCAGAGGAGAGCCAACACAAGGCCTGTTGACTCCCTGTTCTGCCATCAGAGGGAAGGCCCAGACTCCCCTCTCTCCTAAGAATAGCAGCATCCCAAGGTGTCTAAAAATGAAATGAGTTCAAACGAGAGTGCTGGGTGAACCTAAACACTGAGTCTACTTCAGTACTTTTTCTTTAATTAAAAAAAAAAAAAAATACTGTGTATGCACACGTACACGATAAAGGGGCTTGATGTGCCACAATACACATGAGGTCAGAGGACAGCTTTTGGCATCAGGTCTCTCCCCCTGCCTCCATCTGGGTTCCATGATGGACATGATGGTCTAACTCAGGTCACTGGGTTTGCTCTTGCCTTCACCTGCTGAGCATCTCAACAGCCCTATTTTCTTTCTTTCTTTCTTTCTTTCTTTCTTTCTTTCTTTCTTTCTTTCTTTCTTTCTTCTTTCCTTTTCTTTCTACATTTTATTTATTTTTATGTTTATCAGTGTTCTGTCTTCATGTATATATGCACACCACACTTGTGCCTGGTGCCCTTGGAGGTTAGACAACAGCATCAGATTCCCTAGAACCTGGGTTACTGATGGTTCCCAGCACCAAATGGGTGCTGGGAACCCAACTTGAGTCTAATACAGCCAGTGTTCTTAACTGCTGAGCCATTTCTCCGGCCCCATCCCATTCAGCCTGATCCCAGGCATTGTTACAGACACTTTTTAAAAATTACATTTATCTATTTATTTACTTATTTAAGTACTTGTTTAATTGCTCATTCATTGTGTAGCATGCATGTTCTTACCTGCTTACTCATTTATTGTGTGGCATGCATGTGCCACAATGTTCACGTGGAAGTCAGAGGACAACTTGAAGGAATCAGTTTTCTTCTTCTACCATGTAGGTCCCAGGGATTGAATTTGGGTTGCCAGGCATGGAGGAGGCAAGTGTCTTTACTCACTAAACCATCTTGCCAGCCTTCTAGTCAGTTTTTCAAACATGGTCTCATTTGATCTTTGTCATGTACACGATACACAATTTGAACCAGGCAGCATGGGTTTGGAGTATAGGCTTTCCTCACTCCATGTTACATGAGAGGTCCTTCCTGACCTGGCGGGGGCCTGGCTGGCCCTCCCTGGCATATAGCCTCTTTCTAGCCCACTTTTAACTCCACTACACCATCTCCCCGAACTCACCAGCCTCCTCTGCCTCTAGGCTGTGCTTGCTGCTACCCACCCCGATTCACCTGCTGTTCGAAAGAACAGGCACACTGCTGTGCAGTAATGTGGCTCATTTCCACAGTGGAGTCGGTCTGGTTTGGAAGCCTCCCTGGCCACACTGCACCTGAGCAGGTCCCTGTCTGTGTACTCCCAGCTAGCTGATGGAACAGTCTAGCTCACCTGTCTGCACTATCTACCCTGTGGTTGCTGGACCGGCAGGTGCACCATCACTCAATGCTTAGGTGACTCTGCTGCTTTTTCCCAGTGTCCTTGACAGGCAGACAGGTTTAAAAAAAAAAATCACCATAGAAGATGGGACTGAGCAAGATCCTGCCTTACCCTTCCACCAGCCAAGTGCTTCACTATCTGGCAAGCAGATGGGTGTTTGGGCCTGCAGCAAATTCTTGCACATTACCAGGCTGGCAGGTCCCAGTCCCAAGAACATTCCCCTAAAGCATCTGGAGAATGACAAGTGGCATGTCAGAGACTACATAATGAGTTTTCCCTGAAGTTAGTACCATGAAAGGAAGTGACCAGCCAGCATGCCTCCCCCATCCCCCAGTTACCTCACCCCAGATGCAACAACATTCCTCCCTTATATGGGCACATGGGCATGACCTTTGCAATGCCCCATAGGAGGAAGCTGGCTCTCAGGCACATAGCTCCACTGAACAAGTGCCTGCGGGCTGACTAGCTCTCATTATTTGCCTGGGTGGGAAGCATCATCTCCCATGACCATAACAATCCCAAACACGGCTCCAAACACTCAGCCTCTTTCCTTCCATGTGGTCAATAAGCAAGGGCCTCATACTTTCATAAAACATACATCAAAGGACATGACAGGACACCTTCCTGAAACACCTGCCAGTCTACAACATCATGTGAGTGAATGACTCAGGGCAGAGGAAGGCCAGGCTCTGGGAAGGCAGCAGCCTGGTCAGTCTGTGTATCCCTATGCTCAGCTCAAGGAAGGCAGAGCAGAGCTACTGCTCAATAAGCAGGCTGTAATCTGTGATCAGTTCAACCTCAATCATACTGTAAGATACAGTCCAAACCTGTCTACAGAGGGGAGATTCTTTTTTCCTTCACCCCATGCACAGGGCAGGGTAGGTTAACAAAACTGGACACGACACGGTCCTTTTCTCGAACGGGGCTTCATGAACTGGTTTTTCCGTAGGAGACAATGAGCAGGCTGGAGAGCTGGTCCACCTGAGCTAAGGGTCAACCCCTGTGGCACCACTGCTGGGACTGTCGGGCTCTGCAGGTAAATCTGAAAATTCTTAAGTTTCACACACACACATACAGGGCAACCAAGGACAAAGAAGACTCAGCATTAGTCTCCACAGACAAGCTCCAGACCTACATGTAGCCAGGGCACCCTTATAGAGGGTACCAGAGAGAGCTACTGGCTAAAGCTGCTCTCAGACAAGACAGGGGCACTGGGAAGCAGTCCTCTGCTGACAGAGGCTGTGCTCAAATTAGTAACTGGAGAAAAGGCACACTGACAAGAGTTTCCTACTGGCACTTCTATTGCCAATCTAAAAATACCAACCAGTACACCCTGTCCAGAATAATCAACACTCAACAGTGCTTGATGCTATAGCAGCCAGAACTGGGCCAAATAAAACTCGTGGGTTGTGGCATTAAAGACACTGGGGCAATGCTAGCTCAGTCACTCTGACATTCAGGTGTCAGGTAACTCTCAAACCTTAGTCTACTAATTTGGTTGGAGAAAGTTTTCTGTTTGCTTTTTGGAGAAAGTTTTCACAAAGCTCAAACTGACCTCAAACTCACTAGCAGCCAAGACCTTGTACTCTTGCTCTTCGCACTGCAATCACCCAAGATCTGGGATTAAAGTCATGCGCCACCACACCTATGCATGTGCTGGAGAGGGAACACGGGCTTCACCAACTGAGACAGTCACCCACCACGCCTCCTGGCTGGCCCTTCTGCTGGGATAAGAGTCACCTACCCTCAGTGGGGCACACCTTTAGTCCTAGCACTTGGGAGGCGGAGACTGGAGGATTTCTGAGTTTGAGGCCACTATAGTCTACAAAGTGAGTTCCAGGGCAACCAGAATTGCAAAGAAACCTATCTCTGTGCACATCTCTAATCCCAGCACTCACCGGAGGCAGAGCAAGGTGGATCTCTCTGAGTTCAAAGCCAGCCTGGTATACAAGTTCCAGGACAGCCAGGGCTGTTACACAAAGAAACCCTGTCTTAGGGGGGCGGAAAATATTCAAATGAAACACAAGGCATTCTTAACTTAATAGTTCAGAGCCTATCTCCCTGATCCTCAGAATGCCACAGGGATCCAAGCAGAGCACAGGGAAGGGCAATGACACACTTGGGCTTGAGTTCCCCTGAAGTAGGGCTTTTGGGACCCTCAAATCCTGTTACTCAAACTTCTCACAGGGCCTGCCTGAGCAGGTACCCGGCTCACCTTCCAGGAAGCTGGCACTCTCTTGGATGTAGGCCCCCAGCTGCTCAAAGATGCCATTGATCTTTTTCTTGGCAGTGACAAAGTGCTTGAGTGGGGAAGCATTCACCTCAGCCATGTGTCGCTTATCCTTCTTGACAGTGACGATGGAGGTGCATCGAGAAAAGAGCAGGGACATCTCGCTGCAAGGGAATGGAGACTCTATGAGTACAGGCATATTTAACAGTTAGTGTTCGGCCATGCTGCTGGGGGGGGGGGTAGGAAGAGAATTGAGACCACCAAGAATACGGGGTGCTCTGGACTCACTGAAGGGAAACAGGTCTCAACATCTTAAATAGGAAGGGAGTTCTCAGCACACTTGGGCCCATCTCCATGTCACCCTATGTGGGGTCGCAAACGCCTGACTGTAGAGCCCTGAGACAGGCTTGGTGTTAGCAATCCCTGCCCTGCCTGTTCAACCCTGACTAGTGCCTCAGAGAGAGGAAAAATGCTTAGATCACACAGTCACACGCACAGGACCCCGCAGGTGGAAAAGGAATAGAAATCAGACCTATCTCCTCAACAGCATCAAGCTAAGAAAGCAACAGACAGTGAAAGCAGAGCACATTCGAGGCCCTTCCATGGCCACATTGTGGTCCAGGAACACAATGGTCCTCGTTCCTAATAGTGTTTGTTAGTTTGCTTGCTTAAGGAGTAGGACAAGCGACCCTCAAGCAAGAGAGATCTACTTCTAAAACTTAAAAAAAAAAAAAAAAAAGGAAAGAAATGTCCTCAGGCATGCGGCCTGCATGGAAGCACGTGCCTGAGATTCCGGCACTTGGGAGCTGAAGACAGAAGATCAGGAGTTCAAGGCCGACTTTGAGTCCACAGTGAGGTTAAGGTTAGTCTGGGCTACACGAGACCCTGTCTCAAATGAACGAATAAAGGACAACAAAAGACTATCAGTTTCTCCTATGATAGTGTAGGACAGAACCTATTTGGAAACAAGGAAAAAATCCTATAGCACTTTGTAATAACACTGGACATTTTACTTTCTGCTAGTCTATCTTGTGTGTCTTTTTCTCAATCTCAAACATCTTCCCAGAAGCCATGAAACTTGACTCCTAAGTCCTGGAGATCTTTGGTCAAAAACAAAACATATACCACAGCGTTTTCTCAATGCGGTTTGCCCCCAAGTGGAGCCCTGAAAGATCCTACTCAGAGTTCCAATCATGGAGACTATTCCCCAGCGAATTCTGGGACATGAAAAGAAAAGGCCATCCCAGGAGGAGGAGAACACGTGCAGGTCGGGGCCTGTCACTCAGTGCACAGCCACCCTATCGACATCCCCATCAAGCCTCCACCCCAGGGGCACTTGTTCATGAGTGAGCACACAAGATAACCCCGCAGTGGTGTCAAAAGCTGCAGCACGGGGTCCTGAGTGAAAGCACAAGAAGTCTGAGAGCTAAAACTGGGTCTTTGAGAAAGGCTGCCTTCAAAGTAGGCACAGAGATGGGGACCAACCTACACTGCTCAAATCAACAAACCTTTCTGTAGTGTTACCGATCCTGCAGGAGCCAAGGGAAAGAAATGATGAGCACACTGCTGTTTCCACCTTCCTGTGTGTGTGTCTGTTTGTGTGGTGGTGGTGGTCTCATGGAGGCCTTGAACTTCTGCTCCTTCCACTCTGTCTCCCAAATGCTACAATCATGGGCTTTGCCATCACACCCAGCTTCTGAGATGTGTTTTCTCAACTAGGAAAGGCAATAGAGCTCTGAGAAATAATTACAGCTCTGAGAAATAAATGGCACTGGAAATAAAATAACTGAACAAAGCAGAGGAAGAGTGTCCTTGAGTCAGGGGGTGGGGCCAGCAGATGAGAGCAGGGAAGGGAAGGGGGGGAGAGTATAGGACGTGGTGAGGTTGCACTTGACAAAGATTCTGAAATCAGCAGCATGAAGTGAGAGCCCCATGTTCTTCCTGCCACTTGTCTCACCATGGAGCTTGGTTTCTTCATGGTCAACAAATAAGATATGGTGTAAGCTGTAAGATCACTAGAGAGGATGGCACAAGCACCACACTCAGCTCTGTCAGGGCTCAAAGGTCCCAAACAGTAATAAACAAGAGCCAGATCACAAGACTCTCCCCATGACCACCCAGCAACCCAGCCTAGGAAGCAATGTTGGCCAGTAACCCTACCAACACATTCTATACTCCCCAGCCTGCTACCATGGAAACGTAGTAAACAGGTCAGCTGGAAAAGATAAGTCGTGCCTAGCCCACAAGTGACTTGCTTGAAGGAAAAAAGTTCCTCGACAGCAGCTAGGCTTTTAGAAGCTGGTGTGCCCAGAGTGCTGGTCATTGTCTTCAGGGTGTTAGTGTTTGATAAATGCAAGACTCAAGGACATGCACACTAGTAAAAGCTAAGGGGCCACAGGTTAAGGGCTGGCTGGGTGTTCGACTGGCCAGGAGCTGCCCTGATTTCACACCAGCAGCTACAAGTCCTGGAGAAACCTACCACAGCTGGCTCCAAGCTCAAATGTCTCTGGCTCTGCTAATTCCCAGGTGGAGTATCTGCATTCGACCTTGCTTTCTGTGTAGCAGCTACTCTCCTTTCCTATCTGTTTTACATACTCTTACTTTGCTCTTAGAAGTAACTCAAAAGTCACCCACACACAGAGCACAGACACATACACAGAGGACAGACTCACAATCTTACCAGATTTTTACTTTGGATTATTTTTAAAATCACAGTGGTGCTGAGCTTCTAGCAAGCCAGTCCTTGAGAGCATAGCACCCTCCCCATTTCCCCCTCCTGGTCCACAACTGTGAGAGATACAGGCTGCATTAGTGAATAGCCTCCCAGGGAAACAATCTAAAACCTTCCATCCCTAAATACCCAAATCCACTTTTTCCTGAAAAGCCGTTTCCAACTAAGTATTTGGAGCTCTGCCAGTCAACAGAGATGAGCAAATGTTTCAGATACTGAAATTTAATCCTTCCAAAGAGCAAACTGCACTTATCCATGTACAAAGAAGTACCAAATTTCCAAAATACATGCACAAAACCCCTCAAAGAGCCTTTACTATGTGGGGCTTTGCTGTCATTTCTCTACCCTCCCAGGGTGGTGGGAGGAGCCTGACTTCCTGCCCCTCTTCTGGAAAGCCCTGATAGGCCTCCCTTTACCACAGGGCTTGCTGCAGACATGTGGAACCTGCCCGTAAGTACAGCTGGACCAGAGGGTCCAGTTCCAATATCGGTTACACTAAATGGCACATTCTGAGTTTTTGTGACACCCTCAAAGTGCTCCCAATTTTGGAGCATTTAACAGCACCATTTCCCAAAGAGTGACCACCAGGACTCTAGTTGTAACCAATGGTCCACTGCAAAATATGTTCTATGTGGACATCACTGTGCAAACACCATACAGCCGAATCATTTCTATGCACATGAATGTGGCAGAGACCTGGGAGAACAGGCTGACTTAAACACAGTATCACTGTAATTTGATCAGCACCGAGCAATTTATTCAATGAAGATGCTTCTTAGCTGAGCCTGGTGGTACACCAACTGTATTCCTAGCACTTGGGAGGTGGAGGCAGGAGAATCACCAGTTCAAGGCTGGGACTGACTGAGAGATGGTGTAGGCAGCCATCATCTTGCTGCCACACCTAACAATTTAAATCCAATTCTCTGAACCCACGTGAACAAATTCCTACAAGTTGTCTGACCTCCACATGTGTATTGTGATACACATGCACACAAAATAAATACACCTGGGAAAAAAGAACAAGAAAAAGGAGCTTAAGATCACCCTCACTTAACAGGGAGTTCAAGGCCAGCCTGGGTTTTATGTGACTCTGCCTGTCTCAGGAGCAAGGGAAGGGAGACTGAGAAGAAAGTTCTGGGGATCACACTTTAGGGAAAGGCTCATCCATCTGGCAGTCTTCTCCAGCCTCCACAGGTTGCAGGAGCACAGTAATAGCATACGGACTTAAGATCAGAACAAACCCAATTCGGAACAGAAACCAGTACAGCACTTGAAGGCCATCAGAAGCTAAGCCTGGACCCAGGTCATTAGTGCAGGAGTATTAGGTGTTTGCAGAGCAGTAGCAAATCTTGGTGCAAGGTGTTGTCCCTGAATCCATATCACCTCCTTACCCAGTTTTATGTACAGCAACTCCTAGCAGAGAAAACAAAATGGGTCCAGAGAGCATCTGCTGGCACAACTGGAACAGAGGAGAAGCTGAGAAATTGAAACAAAAGAATATACAGGGTAAAGGACACAGCACTCTTACAGGCATGATAAGGGGCCAACCTCTGCCAAGCAGAGACAGAAAAGAGCCAGCACAGAGATGAATAAATAAAAGAAAGAGACTAATTCTTCAGGGACTGCAGGAGACAGATCCTGGCCATGTTTTGAGCTGTCAACTAGTGAAATCCCCATGGAATTAGGAAAGAGAAACAGGAGTTGGAAGCCACCGGCTCTGTGCATCAGGATCCGTTCTAAGAGACTTGCCACCTGAGAGCTAGCACAACACATTCTTTTGCTCTCAATCCAGATCCATGGTGCCCAAAACCACATCTTCCACTTACTTTTTAGCTGGTTAAGAGACCTTCACAGGGTGGGCATTGTGGCCATGGCCGGAGCCAAATGGTGAAAAGAACTTGAGGCCTCCTCTATGCTGATTAAGGTCCAGGTTGGCTATTGGTGTTGACTCCCTCCACCTGTCCCAACTTCTGGAAAGGAAAAGGGAGAGGTCAATAGGCAACCAGGAAGAAAAAAAACCACCTGATATACAACACATGTCTAATTAGGTGTTAAAACCAAACTAACTTATCCCTGAGGGAAGCTTACTCATTGAGGTACTTCAGGAGCATGTGAGGAAGCATGAAGGGGGAGGGGCAAGACAATAACAAGAACACGGTACAGGCAGGCACAAACACATTCTTAGCCATGTGCTAGTGCAAGGCACCTAAGAGGTCCCTGCAAAGGCATAGCCAGATGAGGAGGGAGCTAAAATCAGGACGAGGCTTGGCCCTTTGGACTGGGAAACTTGCCAACTAGAAGTGGAAGGGGTGTGGAAAGGAAGAGAAGTGGATCTGAGGGAAGCCAGTATATCCCAGCTGCTGTAAAGTATCTCCTTCCATACTCAAAGTTATGGAGTAAACTTGGGCCTAGAGTACAAGGGAAGATGGACAGAGTCAGGGTGCCAAGCTAGAGACCAAAATACACTAGCTGTGGCTCCAAAGCTCAACAAAAGACAAGATGGGGACAATCAAGAGTCTTTTTCTGGAAGGAGGGAGAGATGATTGGGAAAGTAAGCAAATAGGATAGAAACTATTACAAGAGATGGAGGCCGGCAGCTTTGCCTTTCTGCATCCAAACAGCTATCTTTTTCAGTATTTTCTGTGGCCTTTCAATGTGTTTGGTCCTAGGGTCAGGGACGGATAATAGCTCTAACCCTCGAGGGTCTTAACGGTGCAATGAGAAGTCATTTAAGTAAAAAGACCTCCATAAGTGGGGTAGACAGTGAAGTGGGTCCTGAAAAAAATGCTGGCATATAAAAGAAAAGAAAATGGGGCCGGGATCATCGATGTGACCACAGGGCTAGAAATACGAGGGTGCCAGGAGCTTCAAGGAGCCCCCCCCCCCCCAGCCCTGAGTCCTGCGGCCCGCCCCCTCCTAAAAGTCGAGGAGGACCTGGCGACGAGGCCGGGGCAGGGAAATGCCCGTGTGACCGGAGCCTGAGCCAGAGCCCCAGGGGCCCCAGCGTCCTAAGCCGGGTGGCTCAGGACTCTCCCTGCGGAGGCCTGCCGGTTCCACCACCCCGGCGCGCTCGCCCTCTCACCTTCACCTTCCCGGCCTCGCGGCGGCCATCACGCCCACGACGTCACTAGATGTCGCCACACCGAGATAAGCGGGAGGGGAGGGGCCTGTTCCTCGTCACTCGTCCTGCCGTAGCCCAGATGAGCCGATGGCCTAGGATCGCAGTCACTTCAACCCTACCGCTCCTATGTGACAGCGTCCAAGGACTCCGCGCTCCAAAATGAGCCTCCTCGTGCTTGGTAACCGTCCCGCGTCCTGTGTAGATGATGTAATCTTTGGGGTGGGGTTCCCAATGCACCATGGGAGTTGTAGTTTGGATCAGCGCCCGATAGGGCGGGGCAGGGCGGAGCCCCGAGCTGTCAAACGGGGGGAGGGGCAGGGAAGAGTAGAAGCCGGGGGAACTGAACAGGGGAGACTTGATAAGGGTGTGGATTAGAGGTTTGCATGCGGTTACGTTTGTTGTTCCAGAACTTGACCCTGCAACACCTGTCAGCTTTGAAATCCAGCTTGCATTTCATAATCTGAGAGAGGCGTCTTCGAAGGGAAAAGACCCAGACCGTTAGAGTGAAGTAATTGTCCTTCAGTTGCCTTTGAGGCAGCTGTCAAAACAGCAGCCACAACACATTAGGCACCTCCTGAGTGCCGGTCAGTGAGCTGAGTATCTAACATGCAATTTCTTAATTTTCACAGTAGCCCCCAGGACACACGGGTTAGGAGTATCCAACCTCACATGTCACTCAGTGGCCCCTCATTTTGTTCCAGGAACTAGGATACAGCAGACGACCCCAAGCTGGGAGACCTCCAAGCCTGGGCTCTGTAATATCACACACCATCCATTTGAAGCTACTGAGGCCCTGAAATGCAGCTACTGCAAACTGAGAGAAGCCCCCAATGAGTAATAAAAAGAAATACAAACTACCTCATTAATATTTGGACTCCAACTAATGGAGTCCAAACTCCCTTGAATTGATGATCTTCTTACTCCACCTTCCAAAGTCTAAGATTGAAGTCATTCACCACCACACCTAGCGCTCATGTTTTCTACCCACGGGCACTGCCCTAGAGCTAGGGTAGAGCCATGCCACAAACAACCTCAGTGGTAAATCATCACTCCAGTTATGAGTCTCCAGGGAGGTGAGTCAGGCAGCCTTCTATCTGCAATGTCTGACTCTGAGCTGGAGGGCCACACCCGGCCCTCGCCTTGAGGCATGGTGTGCACTGCGGTCTTAGCTGCGCTGAATGTCTCCTCCCCCATCATCTCCAGCCTCCCCAGGGAGCTCTCTGAGCACCAAACTGTGATCTCCATTTCCTTTCCCTTTGGTAGAATCTTACTGAAGTCAGAGGTCTAGAGGACATCGACTAAAATCTCTCCTGTCCGTTCCTCCTCTTTGGTAGCTTCCTTGCAAGCTTTGGCCTAGGCTCTCACCCCATCTTAGCCAGTAGAAGGAACTTCTGAGCTCTTTCCCAGGCTTCTAATCTTACCCTCTGGGCTTCTCTGAACCAGAACTCCAAACTGTGAGGCCCTTCCCTTAGCCCCTCAATGACAAAGTTCCTCCAGTACTGCTGGCTCCCACCAGAAAAGGGCCCAGGCAGTGCTGGGGCCCAACTGCAGGAGGCCTTTCTTGTGTCTTTTATTTCTATTTTGATTGACTTTTCCATGGTGCATGTGAATTACATTTGTAATCAGAAAATAGTCACTATTAGTTAGAAACAACCTTAGACAGGATGTGGTGGTTATCCCAGCATGCAGGAGGCTGAAGTGGGAGCATCACAAATGAGAGGCCAAGCCTGGATTACACAGGGATCTTTTAAAAGGTGTACACATTGTTCTTTTTAAATTTTTCTTATTATTGTGTGAGGTGTGTGTGTGTGTGTGTGCTCATGCATGATGTATGTAGGGGGTTATTTCTTTCCTTCTACCCTTTATGTGGTAGGTTCTGGGAATCAAACTCGTCATCAGGTTTGTTCCCATGACAACTAGATAAGGGACTCACCAGCTCCAATATACACAATTCCTGCATGATTCTGCTTGCTTCCAAGTGGAGTTCCAACTCCTTTTCACCTACTTCTATGGTTTGAATGTGTTCTCTATCTGTGCTGGTCAGTTTTGTTGTTGTTTGGTTGATTGGTTGGTTTGGTTTTTGCCAACTTGACACAGCCAGAATCATCTGAACAAAGAAAATCTCTGTTGAGAAAATTCCTCCGTAAGACTGCTCTGTAGGCAAGCTTGTGGAGTTCCTCTTGGTTGGCAATTGATGTAGAAGGGCCCAGCTCAATGTAGGCATTGCTCTCGCCAGGCAAGTGGCCCTAGCTTGTATAAGAAAGCATGATGATAAGCCAGGCCTTTAATTCCAGCACTCAGGAGGCAGAGGCAGGTGGATCTCTTGTGATTTTCAAGGCCATCCCGGTCTACAAAGTGAGTTCCAGGATAGCCAGGGCTGTTAAACAGAGAAAACCTGTCTCAGAAAGAAAAAGAATGAGAGAGCGAGAAAGAGAAAGGAAAGAAAAAAGAAAAGAAACAAAGCAGGCTGAGCAAGCCATGCACAGCAAGCCAGTTAACAGTGTCCTCCATGGCCTCTGCCTAATTCCTGTCTCCAGGTTCCTGCCCTGACTTCCCTCAGGGGTGGACTGTGACTTCAAAATTGTAACTTCAAATAAACTCTTCCTTCTCCATGTTGCTTTTGGTGAGGGTTTTCTTTAAACCCTCAGAAACCCAAGACACCATCCATGTTCACTAGTTGAAAATTCTGAGAAAGTCCCAGTAATGGCACTTGGAGGTATGGCTTCTAGGGAGTAATCGGGATTAGATAAGGTCATGAGAGTGGACCCCATGATGTCCTTAGTGGAAGAGAAATCTACAGAGCATGCGTTCTCTGCCTGTCCATGTGATATTCTCCATCATGATACACAGCTTCCAGAGGCACAGAACTCAGAAATGTCTGTTTTGGTCTCTGTGTAGCCCAAGCTAGCTTGAAACTTTCCATTCTCCCACGTCAGCTTCCCAGTGCTGGGATTACAGATGCGCACCCCCATACCCAATGATATAGACTGATATAAACGTCTAATCCAGGTGGACCCAACCTGTGGCCTGAGTGCCATGTGTCCCCAGGTAGCTAGGAAATCAGTTCAACACATTTGTAGATGCACAATGTTGAAAGTTTGGAGATCCCTTTGTCTTTACAAATTACCCAGACTGCAGTGTTCTGTTACAGTATAGCAATAGAAAACAGACTGAGAATTAAGCCTGGAACCTTAGCACTTGAAGCTAAGGCAGGAGGACTGCCTGAGGTCAAGGCAAGTCTAGGTTACATGAGGTTCAGATCAGCCTGGGCTACACCAGGAGACACCATCTCAAAAACCACAATAGCCTCCCCCTTCTTCGTAACAAAAGAGACTAAGGGGACAGCTGGGGAAGTAGTCCTTTATAGTTTGGCCCGCACCCCACCTCCTCCAGCCATCTGCATCCTCCAGGCCTCAAGGGTCTTTGCCTACAGGAACCTGACACTGTGTCCCTTTCTCCCGCACACACTAAGGTCCCATGGTCACATAAGGTCACACATCTTTAGTGGCACCTACTGACAAGCCTTCTCCAGCACTCCGATCTTTCTTTTTTCCCCCCCCCATGGTGGTTAGGGGTTTCCCTGTGTACCTCTGGTCTCTGTCTATTAGACGCCAGTAGCACCTCCTTCCCCAGTTGTAACAACCAAAAAGTGATTCACACATGGGGAAAAGTCTCCTGGGAGGCAAAAATCACATAAATCAGAGAGACAGCTTAGCTGGTTATTCCCTCCTGGTCCTACACTGCTCTTCTTATGGCCATTGTGAGGTTTGACATTTATCTACAGTGAAGCACATTTTTTTTCTGCCTTACAACCACAGGTGGCAATCCCTCAGGACAAGGATTTGATCACTTCAGTCACAGAAAGCATATTCAAATCCCTGTCCCTACCACTTACTTGCTATGTCCCTAAGCCAACAATTATTTCTCCACCTGTGAAGGAGAAATAGCCCTTACCGGAGGGCTATGTGCTGAGGGCCTGACTTGCACCATGGCCAGCTTCCCGTAAGATATGGACAGATGGTAGCGCCTAGCAGGAGTGGTGATAGCACGCCTGCAATGCCAGATCTTGGGGGTTCACACACGAGGATCCTGAGTTGGAGTCCTACCTGAGCTACATATTGCTAGATCTTAATAACAAATGCCCTGAAGCACATTCAAACCAGTGTGCCCAGGGTGAGGTGGGGGCCACCCCAAGTTCTGCTCTTTATTTCATGTTGTTCATGGCTGCGAGAAGGGCTCCCAAAGGCTCCAGAAGTAGTGACAGATAATGCAGGTCTCGGCAATGGAAACAATATGACCCAATGAGTTCCCAGTTAATAGTAGAGTTTTAGACTACATGAATGAACCCTAGAGGCCACAAGATACTTGTTTTGAGAAAGCTAAGTCCTAGAGTCCACTGGCAGCCTGTCCTTCCAGCCATGGGCTCTCACAAGCCTCCCTGCAGGTATCTGCCGGTCACGCGTATACCGGCCCACCCCAGACATCTCTCATATGGTGGTTTGAACAACATTTAATAGAACTCTCGTCTCTGTCCCTGTCTCCAGAGGCATTGGGACAGGGTGACCCAGTACAGTGTGGACATATCAAGCCCCTCCCCCAAAGCAGGGTCAGTAGAGAACCAAGCTACGGCACAGATGTCTTTCCTGACCCTCTTGGAGGATTTCTGAGTTACAGTCTCAACAGAGACAACTGTTTGCTCTGATGATAAAAACCTGGGAGAGCGTCAACAGTCCTAGGTTCAGGGGTAGAGTTGGGGTGAGGGGGAACGCAGGTTGGCCCAGATCTTGGTGGCACTGAAACTTGAAAGAGAATCCTGGGGACTAGCTCTTCCAGAGGCACTCCAGGCATAGCGTCTGACTCTGCAGTATCCCAGGCAGCTCCAGCAGAAGTCTGGCCCCAGGGAAAGCCAGCGGAAGAAGGGGGCTGGGAACTCCAGGATGACGAACATTACCAACGTCTCCTGAGACTGATAGCACCGTGGGCAGCTCCAGTCTTGGAGGGGCGCCCCATCTCTGGCCTGCGCCCGATCCTTCCAACTGGTAGCTTCAAGAGCAACAGGAATTCAGGAATCAGAGGTTGGACTGGGTTCCTCAGGACCCAGAGGCCCCAGGGGCTGCTGCGCAGTGGTTGTCAGCGAAGAGATAGGTCTAACAGAAGCAGGCACTGGTCAGTTAGGGATCGACGAAGG